GTCTTGCACACTCAGTCTTGGTCTTCGTAACACTCTTGCAGTTACCTATTAGCTTATTATTAGATATTTATTACTGTGAATTTTTAGCCAGGAGAAACCTACCTAAGTCTGAATGAAAAATTAAAAGAGTTAAATGCAAAAATATATTGGTTACACCAATTCTTTACATATAGTAACTAAAATTGTCAAGTATTAGTAAACATTTTGCCTCAATTTTTATTCGAAAAATCTATTGTTTTTTTTTTTTGTTTTTTTTACCATTCTTGATCTTGGTCTTGCAACAGATAGGCGGTGTTGGTCTTGGTATTTATGAAAACACTAGTTCTTATAGAAACCATCACGCAGTATGTTGAAAGAGGAGTTACTACTGTGCATTTGTAAGTCCATTTTGCCACCTGGTATTCCGTTTAGAAACACCATTTTTCTCTATTCGAGTTTAAATCCCAATTTCGTATGATATCATTTCCACTTACATTGAGATAAGTCTATGAATTCATTCCATATCTGTTTCGTTATTATAACGTGTAGTGTGTTTATTATGAAGTAATGTGCTCATTACTTGTGCCGATGAACGTAATAATCATAATTTGATTCCTTACTTTGACCTAACGCAAAAGATTTGATGAAACACTAACCACTTTGACAGCTCAGCCATTGCATAAGGTCCCTGAATTGAACAACTGCGCAGCCCTCCTCGTTGGTGGAGCTATAGAGAGAGATGCCTCAGGTTTCCAGGTATCGGATATCCGGATGCGGCTGGATTACCGTCAGCAGTACCGTGGAGGGAATTGCATTACCTCCAGCCAGTCAGCAGAGGGTTCTCTTGCTCTTCAAGCTCTTCGAGCTCTTCGGTATCGCATCAGCTTCATATCAGGAAGGCTTCGGAAGGCCTTGGGTGAGCCCCCTCTACGCTGTCGGCAATGCCAGCCTTTTAATTTCCCGGTATAGGTGTTATCTTCCTGTAAGTTTCGACTTGTGTGACCTCGGGTGACGGCATTGGTATCAAAATAGAGAGAAGTTGACCGTAAGTTTTATTTGTTTTTTTTCTTGCTTCCTTTCCGTTCTATACAAATTAAAATAACGTTTAAACTTCTAATGGTTTTTTTTTCTCTTTATTTTATTCATTTTTTTTTCTCTCATTACCACGCCAGCACATCTGCTGATTTTCGATAGTTGTAATTGACAGGTGCGGATAAATAAATGAAAGTGAAAAAAAAACCTTATAATGGATAGAAAAGCCCTAAAAACATTACTTTATTTTAAATCAATTTCAGCTGTTTACATTTTCCGATTAATTACAATAATGCCATAATCCACTAATTATTTTTTTTTACTGTTTATTCACCTGCTATTCATTTTGTAGCCATAACACATATTTTTTTTTATCCCTATTGACTTTTTATTTCCGCCATTAGTCTTCTAGCTGCTTTGGGCTGTTATACGTGACATCTGTTTGGTTCTCTTCAAACTTTCAGTTTTCTTGAAGATATCATAGGGAGTACGTGGTTTACTCACTCCATCACTCCCTCTTCATAAGGCACTTTCCTGAAGGATGGTACAGGAAATCTGCACTCCAATTTTTGTATGATAGCATTACTAGCCCTAATCCAACCCTCTGGAGGACCAGGAGCTATTGTGTAAGACACAGGGGTCTCTCACCTCCCTGTTAATCTTTAGGTGAAAAAAAATTAAATAAATAATAGGGTAGATATTGTAAAATTTAAAGATAAATATATTATTATTTATATACAAAAGAAATACATTTCTGCCTGAGCATAGATACAGAAAGAACGAAGAAGTACTTTTTATTATCAATCAAGATAAAAAATTAATAAATGTTCCCTCATTCACATACAGTTACAAAACTGATTTCATATACGAATATAATTTAAGAATATCAAATTTTCATTTTATAAGATTCATTGTTGGAGGCTTTGCTAAAGAAAAAAATGATTTTATTTATTTATTTTTTTAAATTTAAATTTATAAGTGTATAAATGATAAATACAATAAGTAAATTTGAAACAAGTAACATGACTTGTACAATATGAAGAGAAACTACCCATTGGTAGCACTCCAATAAAGGAAAAAAAAATAAAGAAAATAAAATTAAACTATTATTATCGTTAAATCTAATCTAATAATAATTTTTGCTTTAAGACCTCACTGATAATCAAAATGATTAAAGACAACAAAGATAAGTCAATTTTAAATTTTGATCGGTTAAAGATTATAGGTGAGTTGAATTTGGGTATAAATGGTCAAATGTGGTGAAACGGAACTGATAGATTATTTGAAAAACATTTTTTGTTTACTTTGACTAAAATTTTTTTTAGTAAGAAAATGAAAATGCATTTTTCTATTTATTATTTCGTCATTGATAAACCAAGAAGAACTAGTTAGGGCAAGCAATGTGAGTTTTACTTACTTAAAAAAGATTTATAAATGTTTATGTTGTATATCGGAGAATATATATATATATATATATATATTCTATGAATATATGTTTTCTCTTCCAAAAACTTTTATTTCTCTCCTCTTCTGAAAAATAATGAAAAAGAAAGTAGAATTGAAAAAAATGCATATCATATACAGTTATACTTGTATCGTCTATCCATTATTTTCCCTTGTCCGCTGATTTGAAAGTTCATCCCAATGGAACATCACAAAAATATTCTTTCTTCCAAAATATTATAAGTCCATTAAAATGTACCCCCCTCCCCTCAAAAATTTAAAACCCCATAAACATGTTAGCACCACTGGTGTATATGAAAATTCTTAAAGTGTATATCTTTCAAGGCTCTGTCTTTCGAGGACACTGGTGTAAGGAGTAATTAAATATAGAAAAAAATTGAATAAGTTTGGTTGTTTAGATGACTTTAGGCACCTGGGATATACTGATATTTTGATGACTGCTTAAATCAGGGAAATAAAATTAATTAGGCATATCTCGTTCATGAGTAATTAAAACTAACAAAGTATCCTTTCAATTATTAAAAATTGTTTTTGTACCTAATTAATATCATTAATGGAATCGAAAAGAATGGATACTTTAATAGAAATGACCTACTCATTAGTACCAAGATTATAGTTCTTTGTGCTTGAAAATTTTTTTTTTCTCTTCCTCTATACATCTTCATTAAGCCTTCCTCCTCGGTACTCCGACTTACGTAAGAAAAGACATCAAAGGCCCTGGCGGGAAAAATGGTGGGGGGGAGGGAGGAGGAGATTAGAGTGGTGACTCGGCACCCCTGACATTGGACAGGACCTGCAAGGTCGGCCCTCGCTGGGTTAACGACACGTTGATCACCGCAGCGCCACGATCAGCCTCCTCTCTGTTGGGTTTTAGATCTGCTATCTCTCTCTTTGGAAGTCAGCAAGTAGGATGTGTCATGAAGTAGCATTAGTTTCATATGTTTAAAAATCTGGACTTATCCAGCAAGTGTCTTCAACTTTAAATCAATATCGAAGGCTTAAAAAAGAAATTCTGGTCCTATCTAGGAAAAAAAGAAAGAATACAAAAAAAAGATACATTTTTACTTATTACCATAAAACTGTATACTTTCAATAATTACTTTTCACTTAAAAGAAATACAATAAAATTGTAAAGCTGCTCAGCTATGTTATGAACAGCATACTTACTGGTCAGTCCAGTCGATAATTTAAAAGAAAAACGTCATTGAAACAATTACTTTTTACGAAAATATTTTTTTTCTTTATGTTTCTCTTCTCTTGCTTCTCCTATCTTTCCTTAAAATTCCTAAAGCAGAATTAACCCTGATGGTGATGCAGGATACCCAATGAGTCCAAAATGACATTGCCATAATCTGTATGCGATTTAACTTTCAACTCCCATCTTTTCCAAAAAAAAAAAAAATAAAACTTGAAAGAGACGTTGTTCTCCTATCTCTGAACCAAAGCCACAAAAAAGAAAAAAAAGAATGATACAATATTGTTTGAATGTCTCAATAATCACATTGAAATTAAATTTTTAAATTTGCAATTTTATAAATACAGGTGTTTGTTTGTACGTTCAGGACTCTGATTTTCTTGATCATATCATTTAAAATTTTAATAATTTATTGAAATGCATCATTTGTTGGATTAAAAAATTGTTTTAAAAAACAAGAAAACTCTTTTGTAGTTAATGAAATCATTGATTAACATGTTATGAAGATAATATTATATACAAGTTTATTGTTAAAAAACGTTCCTAAATTGGTTTATGGTAAGATGAATATTTGAAACAAAGTAATATAACTACTTAACTACGTATAGTGATGTATCAGGATTTTTTTTCGAAAATAAATGTTACAGGTTACAAATAAATAAATTAATAAGTAAAAATTAAATCCTTATGTTGAAAATTTATTATTATTCAAAATATTTTTTTGCTAGTTCGTAAATCCAATCTCTGGGAAAGCGTAGATATTTTATATTCTATCAAATATTTGAGAGTCACTTTTTCTTCGATGATGTAACACTATTATTTCATTAGAGATGGGTAATTAGTCGACTGATCAATTATTAGGTTGAAACCAAATCGTCAGGATTTACAATCAAGAATTTAGCTTAGCCGACGTTTCAGTTCGTCTCGACTTCGAAACGTTGCCTAACCTAATAAAAATTCTTGACTGCAAATCCTGACTATTTTCTTTCATCCTATGATTTTATTAGTGTTCTTCTTAAATGAATTTTTAATAGATACTTATAATATGATATATAGATCCAAGTCTCTTTTTTTCTGTAAATATTGTAATATATTTGAATACTCTCTATTTTTTTCATAACTTTAACACTACAATTTCCGCACAAAAAAATCTTCTTATTTCCTTCATGTCATTTCAGTCACCTTAATGTAAATTGTCAATGTTCGATTCCAGGAATATTATAGTACTATTTCGCTTAAATCCTTTTGAAATGTATTTATTATTTTTGATTAATCATTAACATTTATAGTAATGGCAGCTTCGATACTAAATCAGTAATTCTATTTCCAGGTGAATCTACCCAGAAATCAGCTCTACGTGACGAGAGTCTCCGGACGCTGTTCCATGAGGGATATTCTCCACCAGGCCTGTACTGAGAAGAACTTGGATCCTAGCAAGTACACCCTTCGACATCCAAGTAAGCACTTTATCAGTATCTTAATAATAAACCATCTTTACAGCTTATTATAAATAATTTGCCATAAAAATTATAACTTCTCTTGAACAAATTGCATTTATAAAAAAATACCTATTACATTTCCCAGCAGCTATAGATTCAGGTAGTTCACATAAATAATGTTTGATGAATTGTAGGGAATGACAATAAGTGATTAGTCTAAGGGATGTATGGATCGTTTGAAGAAAAAATAGGCTGCAGTCAAAATAACTTTTGCACCATTTTTTGGACTATTTGTTATAATCTGCGTTTTTAATCAGTTATAGGAGCAAAACATTAGTTATTCTTGTTTAGAGTCTGCTGTGTATAGTATACGGTCTTTTCTCTCCTCTCAGCAGTGAACGATTTTGAGATACGAGGTATCAAAAGAAACCGGATTTCATAAAGAAATAACGAATCCCGATTCGTGAGATATAATTGACCTACATTGAAACTGTTGGTACTCAGTGGACGCGGAATTTGTTGTTCTATAACTTTAACATTATGTTTTTTTTTTTTGTTTTAGGATACTAATTTTCAAGGTGCGGGACCATTTAAAGTAATTAATCTCAGTTTTGACAAATTTGACAAAAAATACATTGAAATGAAATATAAACAACTATATCATTGAAATTAAAGAATCAGCATTCGTTGACCGTGGTTTTCGACCGCACCACTTAACCAATTTAATTTAGTTACCCATTCGAAGCATAATTTAACCTTCTTTAATATCTAAAGACTACGTTTTTCGCTTCGATGCACCGTTTAGGAGTTATAGTTAAAAAAACAAAAAAAGGTAGACAAAATCTAGCTTTGTTGGCTATAAAAAGTTTTCCGTTAGAGGCCCGCGCACGGTATGTTGTTTTTTTACATGTTTAAATTTTTATATACAAGATTTAAAAAATCAAAATTTTTAACTATAAATTTTCCTTTTCGATCCTCAAGTTACTGGATTAAATTTTTTAAATCAGACGCAATTTTTTTCAGATAGCATGATCCGACTTGCAGAATCTCATTTAAACAATATAAATGTTAAGAATATTAAAAAAAAATGTATTATCTTTTAAAAATTTCATCAGAATTATCAATTTTTTTGCACAGGATCTCGGACTAATTTGCGGTGCAGTTAGATTTTTAGTATCTATGGCTGAGGAACAGATTATAACTAAAACTGATACTTGTTTCTTAATTACACAGTCAATTTCAAGAATTTAGAGGTTTAAGACACCTTTATACTTCCATAAGAAGCCATACTCCAGTAAAAGTTCGAGAAATGTTGTCTAACGGAGAATAACACGAGGATAAAGAAAAATATCAGAAACTTATGTCCATTCTTTCATTGAACTTAAGATCTTCTTTTTTTTTTCCATACCTATCTTTTCCGGTCTTAGACTACAGCTGATGTGGACTACTACAATAAATGCAAAGTAATCTAACTTTTATTGGACCATAATCTAAATTTTTTGTTTTCTTTTACTGCACGAACTTCTAACTTTTCTGGAACCAGATATCCTGTAATATTTTTCTTTTTGTTCTTTTCTCTTGCTCCCTTCTTCAGACCACATTATGTAGTCTCCACACGGTTCCAGATCAGAGGAAGTTCTTGCGACCTTAACCCCTTCCTATAATAACGCTTTCACCCAACCTGCAATCATGGACCAGTGTTCCTCCCCTTTCCTTTCAACTCCATCGCCTATCATCCGCCGAAGGAGGTCCCTCCCAACCACTAATTCATACTTAGGATCGCTGGTGAATGGGGAAAGCGACCTAGGTCTTCGCTGCGGCACACCTATCTGGTTCGACTGCTGGGTCCGCTCTCTTCGGCCATTAGGGTTCAAATGGTACAATTTAAAAAAATTATGTATATAGTTGTACCTCGTTAAACCGATCTCGGTAAGGGGACGAAACTTCGAGCACTTGTTAAAAGGATTCATGTTAGCAGATAATTTGTTATAATTCCTAAGTATCTAAAAGTTTCTATATGCATATTTTGCTAATTTCAAAGCAACAAAAGTGGAGGCTTGAAATAAATATTTTTATTTTACCCCTAAATTTAATCACCGATTTTCTATTAACCTAGTGTGAAACATAGGGCTTTTTCATGCGCCTTTCTGCAACAGTCTCAGATTGTTTTATCAATATGTCAAGTTTATTTTTGGTTTATTATTTTCAATAATCAACCATTGTGATCGACCAAAAAATTCAAAAACTTAACCCCATCTCAAAATTTGAGGTTTCAATTTTTAGGATGCAAATTCGAAAAACGAATAACAATTTTTTTGTCTGTCCGCCGTACGCCGTCCGCCGGCGGCGCATTTTCTCCGAAACCACTGGAACGATTTTTTTTTCAAATTTGGATATAAAATCAAAGGATGATCCACCTGCATTGACATTACTATCCGGCTTTTACTTTCAAAATGGCGGTCGAAAAACGACTGTAGCTCCTAAACGAATGTACCGATTTCAATGAAACTTTGCTAAAGTAATTTTCTCGGCGCCCTTTAAATTTATCTATATAACATACTTCAACGAAAAGAAGCTGGAAAAAAAATACGAGGGATGGAAAAATTAAATTCCGAATAACTCAAAAAGTTTATACTTTTTTGTCGATATTGTATATGGTTTTTCAAAAGTTTACGGAATTTCCTTAAAAACAAAATCGTTAAATTAGGACAATTAGGAGCAAAGATATAGTCTCCAGTTTTTTTTTTATGTTCTACTCCAAATGTTTTATCCTTTGTTTGGTTTTTAAATTTTGAATGTGTAACTGAAGTAATGCTATTTTTTTTTTAGTACATTACTAATGATAAAAAAAAAAGTTTAGTCCAAGAATTGGAATCATCTTTTATTTATTTTCCTTTATAACTAGAAAGGTAATGTTACTTTAGATGTATAATTGTTTGGAAATAACAAACCATTGTGAAATAATTTGCAGCCTTTTTTTATTATTTTCAATCATCAACCTTTGTAATCGACAAGGAAGAAAAAAGTGAATCCACTCTCAAAATTTGAGGTTTTTACCTTCCAAGATACGTAGAACCTGAAAATCGAAAAGAAAAAAAAATCGTCTGTCCTCCACATGCGCCTTTTTTCCGAGACTACTGAACCGATTTTTTAGAAATTTGGTATCAATGTCAAAGAGCAGCGGTGGATGAACCTCGGAACTCGGTATTACCATCCGCCTCTTCCTTTCAATATGGCTGACGAAAAATCTGTGTCGGTATAGACTGTATCGCTTGCAGGAATGTACTAATTTCAGTGATATTCGGCCAAAGCCTTCTCCTTGAAGCCCTTTAAATTTATCTATATTTCATACTCCACCAAAAATAAGGTGGAAAAAAAGTTACGAGGGGTAGTAAAGTTAGATTTCCGAATAACTGAAAGTTTACGTTGATTTCAGGTTTTTTAAATTTATTTTTTCTATATTCTTCCATCATCTAAAACAAAAGACGTTTTTGTCTATTCATCAACTACTTTTGATGAAGAAAACAATTATTTAGGTCAATATTAGGAATCAATTTTTAATTAGAATAGAATACAATAGAAAATAGAACTTTATTTTGGGACTAAGTTCCCTTAGAATAACAAAGATGAATTAATACAAAATAACATACCAATCTGGCCAAAAACTAACTTATAAAAATTCTAACATAATATACATTATTTAAAAAGTAGTATGTAACCACTAAGAAATAAACAAAAAAAATATACATATATATATATATATATATATATATATATATATATATATATATATATAAATACACGCACATATACATACATAAGCACACATACACACATATATACAAACACACACATGCATGCATATATATATATATATATATATATATATATATATATATATATATATATATATATATATATATATATATATATATATATATACATATACATATACACACATTACGTTATAATTACGTTTTTCTATGAGACAAGGAAAGTAGTGTCACATGGTACATAACTGTTGGAAAATAATAAACCATTGTGTAATCATTTGCAGCGTTTTATGACCTTTTTCAAGGAGATACTTCAAAAGTCAAGCAGATTCCAAAACAACAGCTTTGGAAGAGCCTCTAAGGAGACAGATCAGAATCCAAGATTATTTTTGTTTGTCATTATCTGTGAGAGATGCAACGGAGCGAACACCTGACGTTGGTAGTCGTGAAGGCCGGATAAAGTAACCACCTCCCTCACAAGTGTTCTCGATGAACAAATATTGCCCTCACCTTGGCGTTCCTCAGTTCCGAGACCCGCTCAGTTCATTCATGTTTCTGTAGTGTCCGTGTCTTGTATGTTTTTGTGTACGGAATGTTACTGTGGAAGTGCGACTGTAATTGGTGTCTTACGTTTTGTAGCTGCTAATGATTTTTGATACGTCATGACTACCTTATCGTAATTGTCTATAAAAAGTTATATTCATGGTGTTTCGTAAGTAAAAAAAATATTTATAAGAGTGATAGCAGTCCTCAAGTAGCTCTTGAGAAAAGTTCATATAAACATAAATTAGTAATAAAATAACCAAGAGATAGAACATGAATATTAGATTGTTATTGGAAAATTTCAAAACCACACAGCCTTGTATCTCAAAAATGCAGATAAAGAAAAATCCCTCAACGTTTCGCGAATTCAGGCATTATCAGGACAGAAAAGATTTCATGGAGTAAAGTTCGATTAGCTGTTCTGTGTGGTTTGAAGTTTTTCAAATAATAACCTAAGGTACATATAAATAACATATAAGGTTCATATTGGTCTAATTTTCTGCAGAAAAGTAGGAAATTTAAATATTGTGGTTTTCAGTGTCATATTTTTACTTTCTCTTACTTATATATGAGATATATAGTTAAGGAAAGTATTGCGATCGTTAAAATTTTTGAATCACAGTTTTCAACGGAAATACACGTTTTGAGGTCTCCTAAGTCCAAATAATCAAGTCCCGAAAAATGTTCTGTGTGAGTTTTAAC